CAGTGTCAAATAATAGCACGCGGGCCACTCGCGCGCGTCGGCCGCGCGCGCATGTCGAACTCATTAAAAAACCTTCATCGCCGACGCGAGGGCATAGTCATCGTTATCGGCGGGCGTGATCAACATCGGCGCCGTCATTGGCCTTGCCGTCGTCATCGCCACCATCGTCACCATCATCGCTACTCCCATCATTGTGTCCACCGTTGTCGGCCGCACACGTCACCGACTCTCATTGAAGTGCCCGTTGGGAAGTGCTAAGCGGTCAACGCCACCGCGGCCACGTCGGTCGCGCCAAAGTAGCTGGCCGCAGTGCGCGCTAGCATGCGCGGCCAGCGGCAACCACTCATCGCAATCGCCGCCGCATGGGTTTTGCAAATCAAGTTGCGGGTGGGTGGATTGGGATGTTTGCAAGAGCATGGCATTTGCCAGCTCGTTTGTAAAAAACCAGCTGCACCACGTATATTGCACAACGAGATTGCGCAACATGGATTGCACAACATAGAGTGCACCACGTCGATCGCGCCGCGTACATTGCATAACGTATACAGCTAGAGACTGTTTTGGGGCCTGCGCTGGCTAACACACGCACGCATACACATAGATGGGTGTGTGTGTGTGTGTGCGTGTGTGTATGTATGAATGTATATATGTCTGTCTGTCTGTCTGTCTGTCTGTCTGTCTGTCTGTCTGTCTGTCTGTCTGCCTGCCTGCCTGCCTGCCTGCCTGTCTGTCTGTCTGTCTGTCTGTCTGTCTCTGTGTGTATGTATGTATGTATGTATGTATGTATGTATGTATGTATGTATGTATGTATGTATGTATGTATGTGTGTATGTATGAATGTAGGTAGGTAGGTAGGTAGGTAGGTAGGTAGATAAGTAGGTATGTATGTATGTATGCATGCATGTATGTATGCATGTATGTCTGTCTGTCTGTCTGTCTGCCTGTCTGTCTGCCTGTCTGTCTGTCTGTCTGTATGTATGTATGTATGTATTTACACACAATTATATACATATATTAACACGCCTGTGTATATGTGAAGCGAGGGCCACGCCATGTGCTTCACGCATCTGTATAGGGCTGGGTTTATGACCGGGCTAATGTCAAACCCCGGCCTCCAGAACTCTCCACCCTTCCCCGGGGAGTCCGTCTCTCTGGATGAGGCCGTGGCGGAGACGGGCCTCGAAGAAAGCCGATGGGACCGGCAAAACCAGTCCGCCCGTGGCTTGCGGCCGCTCAGCGAAGCGCGCGCGCTTGCGGCAGACGCCGCCCGCGGCAGGTCGTTCCTGGCGTGGCCTGCGGCGACAACAGGCGCCCCGGGGGTCGGCGGCTCAGAGATGAGGCCATGAGGGAGGAGGGGCCTGGGGGAAGGCCCAGGTAGACCTGGGAAGGCTTATGTAGGCCCAGGGAAGGCCAGGTTTAGGCCTAGGGTAGGCCAAGGCAGGTCTAGGGTTGGTTTAGGAAGTCCCAGGGGTGGCCTCGCGCAGAGAAAAGTTCAGGTTGGGATCTAGGCCTCCCCGATGGGGTCGGAACACATGGGGTCGGAGAATTGCGCCGCTTCGCCGACGCATCGGCGATGCGGCTATGTGGAGCCCAATTTTCTCCACGCCGACGGTGCCGATGCATTGCCGGTGTCGTCGATGCATCGGCGATGCTTCGGCGGTACATCGGCGATGCATCGGCCAAAAGGCGCGAACAGCCGACCCCATCTGCTCGGACCCCATCTAGAGGGCCTCTGGGGGAGGAGTGGCCGCACACAGTGAACAGTTTAGGCCGGGACCCCTCTGCTGCTCTTAGGGCCCCGTCTCTCCAGGGGGAAGGGCGCGAGGGCGCAAGGGCTCCATCTTTGAAGCCTCCGAGGGTGGGGGGGGGCGCGCGAGGGCGCGGCCACTCTCACGGGCCGCCCTCCCCGGCGGCGCGCGGCAGGATGCTGGCGCGCCTCGCCCTCCTCCGTGGCCTCTTGGAGTCGGAGGGTCGCGCCGCACCGCCGACGCATCGGCGATGCGGCAGGATCTGGAGTCCGATCTGGATTTTCTTCGTCTCGACGTGGCCGGTGTATCTGCGGAGCATCGTCGATGCGGTGTGCCTCTGGGGAAGCCAGCTGATTTTTTTGTGGGGGTCGCCCTGAGGCGCTCTAAAGTGGCGCGATTGCGCAACTGTCGATCGTGCGGGCGCGACTGCGCATCTGATTTGTTTCTAGGGCTGGCCAGCGCGCTTGCCACCTTCGCACGGGGGCAGCGCGCGAAGGCCCCTCAACGCGCGACGCACGGAGAGGCACAAAATGGTGGTCGAAACTCATGGAGTTCAAGGTGGAAGCTCCAGAGGTGACCTCCGGGAGGTCTCCGTCTTTCTGGGCCTCCCGGAGGGTTCTCGCGGCCACGGCTGGACGCTGCTCCGAAGAAGATGCTGGCGAGGACGGGGCCCTGAGGCCCGTGTAGGGTGGACTTTGGGTCTTTGGGCGGGGAGGGCGCGACGATCCTTTTGGGGGCTTTTTTGTTGCCTTCGGCTGGCCCCGCCCAGGAGGCCCCCCCCCCTGGGGTGGCTTTTTTCCCTTGGCGATAGCGGGTGTTGCCGAGGAGGGGTGGGGAGGGGGGCCCGGGGCCAGTGACGTCACGTTTCGCGCCGGCGTCGCCTGGGAATGTTTAGGAATCGCCAGAAAGGCAGCTCGGAGGTCAGCACGAGTCCGTGACGTTACCTGGGGGGGGGGAGGGGGGCGGCTGGGCCCGGTGACGGTCGCTGTCGCGAAACATTATACAACGCCCTCCTGCCCCAGGAGACCTCGCCGTGCGGTCCGTCACCCCAGAACCATGCGGTGCCCGCGAACCCCCTCCAGCTCACCACGGGGTGTGTCAGGAGAGACAAAAACGCACAGACACAATTAATCGTCGATTCCCCAGAAAATATGGGAAGATATGGGAAGTGGGGGGGAAGACAAAAACCCAGAAAATATTGGAAAATGTGGGGAATCCTGTTATTTGTGTGTATTTATTTGTGTGTCCCAGGGCCCCTTCAGCGTTGTCCCCACAGCGTCTGCGGCCGTGCCTCCTCGGGAGCCCGCCCCGCCCCGCTCTGGCGAGGGAGGTGCCCCGACGGGGAGGGGCGGGCCTCGGGAGGGCAGGTCCCGGAGGCTCGGGCCCCAGGGCGGTGCAGGCCCCGGGCGCCTGGGCCGCTGCTGGATTCGGGGGCGGCAGAGAGGGGGGTGATGGCTAGGGGGGGGTGGATATCCGGGCGGGGGCCGTGCGATGTCCCCGGATTTCATGGCGCCTTTTCTTATTTCATTACGTCCCTGGCCCCCACCCCCCTGGGCCGCGCACATGCCGCCGGCCATGATTTGCCCCCCGCCCTCTTGGACGCCCCCCTCTTTGCCGCCCCCTATGGATGGGATCCTGCGGGGAGGGGCCAGCCCGAGGCAGGAGAAGAGCCGTCGCGCTCTCTGAGAGGGCCATCCCCCCCCGCCCCGCCCTCCTCGACCCAAGGTCCACCCAGACGGCCCCCGTGAGGGCTCGGGTCCCAGGGCGGTGCAGGTCTCGGGCGTCTGGGCCGCTGCGTCTGCCCGGGATAGGTCCCAGGCGCCTGGGCCGGTGCGTCTGGCTGGGATCCAGCGGGCAGGGGTCATGGGGCTCAGGTTCGAGGTTTTCGGGCGTTTTTCTAGGTTTTCGGATGTTCTCGTCGCTTCTCGGCGGCTTTTTAGCCTTGGGTTGGTTTCCACAGGCTGCTCCTCGCCGAGGGCGTTCTGGGGTTGCCTGGATCGTTCCGAGCGGCCGCCGGAGTGCCGAGTTATGACCCGAAGAACAGGGGGCAACGATAGGGGGATAGGCCCAGGGGGGGATGTCTCGACCCCCAATCGCCCATTCATCGCCGATGGGGGCCCGATGGCCCTCTCCGCCCAGGACCGTGCGGAGTTGCTATCGGGGGCCTATCGCCGATCTGCCGCGATGTATCGTCGATGCTTGTGGCGCGGTGGCCAGGGCCCTCCCCCCTCTTGATGCTGCCAGCGCCCGCGCTCCGTCGGAGCTGCGCAGGTGCCGGGGCTGGCGCCAGCTGTGTTTCTGCCACGCCCCGTTTTGCCAGTCCGACGGGGAGGACTGCAGAGAGGGGGGGGCCAGAGAACAGGAAGCCGAAGGAGCACATCCAGAGGGGTAAATAGAGATACCCAGAGGAGCAGATCTAGGGGAGACGCTGATTCCAGAGGGGCAACTCACAGGGGTGAATGGATGAGCCGACATTCAGAAGGATGAACCCAGAGGGGCGAATTCTCAGAATCGTTGGCCATCAGCTTGGCCTTTTGAGTTGGCGTCTGTGCCGAGGAGGATCAAATCCTCAGCGTCCTCTTGGGACAGCGTGGTCCCCGGCCTCAAGCCCACGAAGAGTGCATGCCTATTTTGCCGGCCTCCCCCTCGGCTGTGCCGCCATTCTTGGGCCCTGCTGATTTTTGGTGGTCTTCGTTGGGTCCTCGTTTTCAAGAGGCAGCGCCGCGCGTCCCTCCTCCTTCTCCTCCTCCAGCCCCTGGGTTCGAGAGATTCGAACCAACGGGGCCCGAGCTTCCGAATTCAGTATGCAGCCCATGGCGCCTCTTCGACCGCGCGGTCGTCGCTCCGCGACGGGGTGGTGACCACCGACATGACGAAGCTGCGGGTGCTTGGCTGGAATCCATTGTGGGCTACTGGCGGTCGCCTCGCGGAGATCGCCAGCTGCACGCGCAACATGGGCTTCACGCTCCTGGCGGGCACCCAGAATGTTTACCGTGAGGCGTCTCACGTCCTCCAGCGGCGGATCGGTGGTCGACTGGCTCTCGAAGCTGCAGCATGCCCAGGCTTGTACACCAACGCTAGTGCTGGTGTATCCATTTTACTTGGACGTGGATTTCGTGAACATCACGTTCGTCGAGTTTTTCCCAGCCCACATGACGTGGGCGGCCGCTGTCTTGCGGCCAGGATTCGTCAAGACGTTGTGGGCGTGTGCGTGAGCGTGCTCTACTTCCCTCCTCAGCCCCGCAGTCGCAGGGCTGGCCCACGCTCCGCGCAGACCGTTGCCAAGATGGTCCAGTGGTGGCGCACATGTCTTTCACAGCTGCCTGCTCGTCGCCTACCATTGTTCTACGCCGACGTCAACGATGGCCTGGGCTGCCGCAAGATCGACGGCGACTGTACACAGTACGCGATTAGTGCCATCGGCAGGGTACGCACACGCGAGCGACGCCGACAGGGTGCTGGAAAGGCAGTGGGCGACCTTCTTGTTCAGCAGCACCTCCTGGCGGCCAACACGCTGGGCAGGTACGAGGCTACCTTTGTTGGCAGCGGACCTGAGGGCCCAAGCAGTCTCATCGATTTCGTCTTTCTTCCGCAGGGCTGGGCGCCCCACACCGTCAAGTGCCACACGTTGCACAGGGTGGGCGCCCAGCTCCAGGCCCAGCGGGGCCGACCTCCACGCGACCATGTTCCAGTATATCTTGAAGGTTTACACCCACGAGGACCTCGTGACTGCCAGGACCAACCTGCTGCACTCAACTGGGACATGACGGCCCTCATGGCAGCGGTCAAGCAGGACGACCAGCGCATTGACTTCGTGAACGGCGTCGCCCAGTGGATGGACGGCTCACTGGCTTTCTCCCTTCCTCCTTTTTACGGGGATGGGGCCTGACCAACGTCTGTTGTCTGCTATGCTATGCGACGCTTTCATTAGCTCTCACAATTCCCTCCGTCTCCGTCTGCCTGACACTCCTTGTAAGCATTTTGAAGCTAGACTTCGCGTGCTCGCCCGTCGTCACCGCGAGGCTCGAAGGCTTTTGTCCACTGTTGGGCGCGAGGTGTGGCGAGTGGCCAACCGATCGCGCTGACTTGGCGGAGTGGGAGGGGTGCCCCTTTCCAAGTTCATAGTGGTGTGGTGGCTGTGCGCCCTGTTACTCCTGTGTCCTGCTGCTGTTGGTAGCTGTCCACCTTTGGTCGTCTGCCACGGGCACGTGGTCATCTCACCGTCCGCATGCATCAGGCCCCAGGACCCTTCGGAGCCTCCAGAGTGCAAAAAAAACGACCAGGACGCCCCCGACCACACCTTCGAGCTGCTTGAGCGCTGCATGGTCGGCGCTGAGTACTTCACGAAGCCGACGGACATTCCCGACGAGTACGCGCACGGGATGAAGTTGAGGCGCGACTTGCTCCAGAAGCGGGTCGGCATGCGCGCCTCGCGCGCGACGGTGGACGGCGCGGAGCTGGAGCAGGTGGAGCACGACCTTCGCGAGTTATCCCAGCGGCTCAAACTTCTTCGACGTGAACATATACGTGCGGTTCGGGAGTCCTACGTCCAGGCCTCACATGATGCATGGGCCCAGAGGAACCTTTGCGAGGCCATGGGGTGGGCCCGCCGTGCTGCTCGCTGCCGCTTTTCGGTTAGGAAGCGCGACGGGCGGCGCTTCGGCGGCGCCCCCATCGCGCGCGGGGAGTGGCCTGCAGTCTGGTCTCTCCCTGGCGGCGGCGGCGGGATGCAGGTCCACCCCATCGACTTGGGCGCCTGGCGTGCCACTCGTGAAGATATGGACATGAGTCAGATCTACGACGTTGCCCGCTATGATGATCGCCCTCAGCAGCTAGGATCTAGTGATATTCGCCGCCTTCGTAGATATGTTCGTCGAGCTCCGAAGCGCCGAGTAGTCCCGGAGGGGTCGGCCCGACTTGAGCTTTGGTGGCAACTCCTTCGCCCCGATCGATGCATGGAGCGTCGGCGCCCTGGTCTTGGGGCCCCGCGAGTCCCTGAGGAGCCCGCGCAGTTTTTGGAGACCCTCTTGGACGGGATGATGAACATCAGGATCGCCGACCTGGCCCCTCTATATATCGGAATGTAAGTCGAGGTTGCGCTTTGCATCAGTCGGCCCAGCCTGGGCCTAAGGGCAAAAGGGTGGTCCACGTGCTGCCTGTGGTGGGGAAATCTTTCTTCGCGGAGTTGTTGCCCAACGATTTGCCTCCTGAAGATTATGGGTTCCAGCGTCGTCGTCGTCGGGGAGGGGCCATCTTCGACGGGCGGGGTGGAGTTTTGGGGCCAGTCTGGAAGATATGAGTAACGCGTTTGGAATCTCTAGCTGGGAGGCCATGGACCATGTCATATCTACTATTACAGCCTGAACATATTGCACTTTGTAAGAATAGGTATCGTGATGCGGTCGTTCTACCTCTTAGTGATGAAGGGGATCTAGCAGTCAAAACAGGAGTGGGAGGAGTGATGGGGGACCCGTTCATGGTGGCCGCCTTTTCCACCACCTCCTGCCGCCCTGTGCTGAAGTGGACGGGCGCTCTGCGCGAGGTCGATCCGCCCCTCAGGCTTCTCTGTGCCGGATGGGGCGGCCAGGAGGTCGACCTTAGCTGGTGCAAGTATACTGGCGACCTCTACCGCTACACCCTCATTGCCCATGGGGACTCCATGGGGGCCTTCCTGGCTAATCTCAAATATTCCGATGATTGTCTCGACTCCCTCCTCCAGGATTACCGGTGCAAGCGACATCGGAACGAACGGGAGTTGGCCGTCTGGGTCAAGGGGGAGGGGGCCCTGGCTTGCAAGAAGTGGCTTCGTGGGCCTGGTCAGGCCCTTCTCTCGGGGGAGCACAAGGAGGAGGTCAGATATCTTGGGCCCCGCATCGCGATGTCCCAGGCGCCCAGTCAGGAGATCGCCCGTCGTCACCAGGCAGCTCGTGCCGCTTTCTATTCGATGGGCGGTTTCTGGTCTCTGAGATTGCCGTGGAAGTTCACGCTCTCGATTTTTATGGCATTGGTTCAGAATTCAGCTTTGTGTGGCCTGGGGTCTTCTTGATCACCAAGCAGCAGAGTGCCAGTTTAGATGCCGCGGTGGCGCACTTTGCTCGCGTGGACATGCGAGGCGGGGCCAGCTGGCAGACTGAGTCTGGATCGACTCGCGCGTTGGCGATGAGGAGTTCTCAATCATTGGTGCATCTGTGAGACGCGCGTCGAGCTCGGGATTCGTCGTCTGAATTGGTGCAAGGTTTGGTCTCGCCACCCGTCCTGCCACCTCCAGCTGCTCTCCGCCCTCTTCGGCTCCGTGCCCTTTGAGATAGGTGCGGCCCCCATGGTCGACGGCGCGCTCGCTCCGACGGCCCCCCTGTGGGCCCGACGCTCTGTTGAAGATTTTCGATGGGCCCAGGAGCTCCTTCCAGATCGCGATGACCTTCTAGGATGCCTCGCCGCCCGCCCTGGTCTCTTGCGGGGTCCCGAGGTCCAGAGCGAGTTCGAGGAAATCGATTTCGCGGCCATTCGATCGAGTGCGTTCGGTTCACGGTTCACGGAACAGGTTCCTGAGTCTCTCCCTGAGGGTTCCTGGACCCTGAGGCTCCCAAGTTCGTTTGTCAGGTCGCTGAACGTGGTGAACGTTTTACTACAGAACAAGTTCTTATTGTACATATGCAATCTCAGCATGGTTATCGATCTCTATGCCGCGTTCTAACTCCACGCAGTACATGTCTATGCTGTCGGGAAGTTTTCTCGGGCGGGGCTTGCGCAGTTCGGCACCGAGTACTAACCGTGCAACGGGGGCATTGTCGTTTCGGTGGGGGTGGGGCGCTGCGACCTCTAACGCCTCCGTCGACCCTGCAGTGCCCCCTATGCGAGTTCGGGGCATCTGACTTGGATTCTCCATGCCGACATCTACGTAGCCATATCCCTGGCCCAGTTCTCCCTCGGCAGCGGCGCCGCCTCGTGGGCGCCCCGAGCGTCGCCCTTGGCCATGGCCCAGGTGGCGGCGGCGAGTTGGATGCAGGGGCCTTCGGCGATTGCGAAACGCGGAGCAGATGGGGCCCACGGCTCGGCGCCGCCGGCCAAACAGGCCGCCGAGGGCGGCAAACAGAAGGAGATGGGCGACCTCCAGGGCGCGCTGTTAAAGGTGGTCGCAAAGTTGTGCCCCAACGACGCGCGCGAGCTGGCCAACCTCGCGGGCGCCGTCTACCAGACGTCGGAGTCGACCGAGGCCGCGGACTCGTTCACCCAGATCATGATCGACGCGGGCTTCAGGTACGACGAGGTTTCAAACGCCTCAAGGAGCGCCAGCATGGCGGCGAAAGCGTCGACTTCAGAGCATGGGGTCCGCCGCGCGTGCAGGCGTGGGGAGCGCTCGCCATGATCTTAGTGAACCAGTTGGACTCATTCCTCGATGGCAGCGAGGCCTACAAGGAGAGCGAGAAGAAGGTATTCCACGAATACTTCCAGAAGCACCTGGCCCAGAAGCGGCCGACGGACGTGGCCGAGCACGTGCTCCACTTCCGCTGCAGAAGTTCAAGCCAAAGAAGAGCCAGGACGTGGCCGCGATGGCGACGGAGGAAAGAAGGGCAGGCCCACCTTCGCCTTTTCGTACGACGAGCCAGGCAGGGAGGCGAGGACGCTGCTGATGCAGTTCTTGAACTCGGGCAAGACCAAGGCGACGCAGCTCGCGGGGCCTGCCCCGATGGGGGCCCCTCGAGCGCGAGGCGGCGAGGCTCCTCGCGATCTTCGGGAAGGGCGGCAGGGACAAGGGTCAGGATCAGGAGAGTTGGAGTTCAATCAGAGTTGGAGGAACGGTAACAGGTGTCGTTCGCGTGAGAGTCCCATAGAAAAACGGGTTCTGAGTGGATGGGGCCTTTGCATGTAGTGAGCGGCTAGCAGCTTTAGCGGCCCGATGGGGCCATCCCAGACCCCTCCGAGGCCACCAGTTTCGATGCATATTCTAATCCCGATCTTCCCCCGATCCCAGTAGTAGTGGCTGCTGAACGGGCTCCGCGCAGATGAGGAAAAGGGCAAGCCAGATTCTCGCGGTGGACCTAGATCGTCGGTCCCCTGGACGGCCCCCTTCGTACGCCTGCGCGGCGTCTGGATTCGCCGTCGTCTCGGGGGCAGTGCTGGTTCTGCCAGATGGGGTCCCCCCTGTCTTTTTCACTGTTGACCCGCTTCTTCATGAAGTCGGGTTGCGCAGAGTTCACTGCCAGATTTATGGTATGAGATCGAGTAACTCATTTGGACTCCCCGCGCATTGCTCATTGCTCATTGCTCATTGCTCCTCCTCCTCCTCCTCCTCCGCCTCTCCTCCCCCCCCTCCTCCCCCCTCCTCCCATCAGCATCATCATCATCCTCATCGTCGTCATCGTCATCGTGTTCGTTCGTCGTCACCATTAGCATCAACCTCATGGCCGTCGTCACCATCATCATCAGCAGCAGCATCAGCGTCAGCATCAGTATCAGCATCAGCCTCACCATCCGCATCATCATCAACACCACCACCATCAACATCACCACCACCACCATCATCAGCATTATCATCATCATCATCATCATCATCATCACGGCCGTCATCATCACACTCATCGCCACCATCACCATCATCGTCATCGTCTTCGCCACACCCCTCACACGTTTCGTGGCCCCATAGGGAGCTCCACCTGAGGTCCCAGTGGCGTAGTCCGCGTGGCGGCGCCGCCCCATTTTGGCACACCCCCAACACGTGTCGTGGCCCCTCAAGAAGCCCCGCCGAAGGTCCCAGTGGCGCAGTCCGCATGGCGGCGCCGCCCGATTTTGGCGCACCCCTCACACGTTTCGTGGCCCCATAGGGAGCTCCACCGAAGGTCCC